GTGCCAGGGACTAGCCCGTCGCTCCTCTCCTGCCGCAGCCGCGCGAGCGCCCGACGTGCCGCCCGAGAGCCAGCCAGCCAGCAGCGCTGCCTGGCTCTGCTGGCCCCTCCTTTCTCGCCGTCTCTTCCTTTTCCTCCCCTGCCCGTGGCGGCTCCGGGGCGCTGAGCCTCGCCGTCCTCTTTCTCCCCTTCCTCCTGGGTTGCTCCTCGGCGGCTCCCATGGCGGCCCCGGGTAATATCGTGTCCGTTATGGCGAGTAAGACCAAGACCAAGAAGAAGCATTTCGTTGCCCAGAAAGTCAAGCTCTTCCGGGCCAGCGACCCGCTGCTCAGCGTCCTCATGTGGGGGGTGAACCATTCGGTAAGAGACGCCGCTGCCGCGCAGACGACTCCGGGGGGCGGGAAAGCCTCGCCTGGCTGCAGCTCCCCTCCAGCCCAGAGCCCTCCCGGCGCACCGGGCTGCAGCTGCTCCATCGGCCCCAGCTAGCCGGCGGCTGGGCACGATGGGAGCTGTAGTGCCGCGCCTGTGGAGAGCGCCAGGTCGGGAAAAGGATTGGTTGGTTGGGTTGTCGCCTGCCTGGCGTAGGAAAGGTGTGATGGGTGGTGGTGTAGCCCTCACCTTCGAATTAACTGCCGCTGTCCTGTGTCTGCAACTCCCTCCCCCCAACCTTGCAGGGCCATCTTGCTTTTTCACACCTCGGTTTCAGGCTGAGCTGGAGGAGTTCGGAAGTAGCGGTGCTCCATAACTGGACTGGTGTAGTTGGTTGAGAGAGGATGCAAAATTTCGTTATGGGAAATAGATGCTCTTCTGCAGGGAGGGCAGATATACCCTTGGATCCACAAGTGTAGAGCCGGGTTTCCCTTGGGATGGCAACAGCTGTGGGTGTGCAGTTTCCCACTGTTTTTCTGTTCTTGTGTGTGGCTGCATCTTTGCAGAGCCTTCAGTGTGTATAACATGGTCAGTATTTCAGTACTTGGTAAGATAAGCACTTCTGCTTAAAGCAAGGGCTAAATACCAGCTACTGGAATATTTCCTTTACTGTTTGCACCCAAAGATGACTCCTCATAATGCTACATAGAAATTAGCCTGTTTGGACAAATAACTCCTTTGCGTGCAATTTCCTGTTGTCAGTCTTCACCCATAAATACTGGGGTGCAAATCCAGAGCATATGTCACTTATATACATAGATATTTGTTGTGACTGGTGATCAACAGCAACATAATTGAGTGTCTACTTGGCTAATGGTTTTGTTACCCTCCACATTTGGATGTGTTTTCCTGAGTATTGGTAAAAAGCAGTCAACAACAACACAGAAAACAAAGCAGAGGAAATGGGAAACTTTCTTCATTCTAATTCCCAGTACATTCAGTGGATCATGTAATTGGAAAGCAGAGCAGTAAGCAGTGTCTGGGATAAAATAGTGCCCTGGTAGAGAAGCAGTTGGCAGCGTACTGCCTTGGGCTACCGCAGTGTCCTGTTTCTGAGCTGGGAATAACAGTTCATTTAACTATGCAGTATTAAGCTAGTGAGATCAGGGAGAAAAGAAAGCACAATATAGTCGACAGTAGAGAAATGTAAGTAAAGATAACATGAAGTTGATAAGGATCAAACTCTTCTGATCTAAGCTGTTAGGGGTGAGGGAATGGTGATGGTTTAGAAAGTGAAGAAAGTGTGTCTCATTGCATGAGAATTACATCCACCTGGTTAGGGGAAGTGATACTGCAGCTCGAGTGTGTGTGTGTGTCGCCAGACTAAATATGCAGTGTTTTGTTCAGAGTGGGGGTGAAGATTGGTTCTGGGTTAAAGATTATGGCATCTGGGCCAGTTCTTGTGAACTTTTGAAATTTGCTTCCTTTTTTACTCAGCACAAGAATTAAAATTTCATTAAAGGAAAAAAAAGCTGCTTAAAGCAACAGCTAACAGATCAGAGGTCTTACGCTTTCCTATTTCCCTTAGGTAGTACAGCCTGACTTTAATATAAGGAGAATTTGCCTTATTGCATATGTCCACCTGTATTAGCTGCCACATCTTCCATTAGAAGCTAAATTTGGCTGCTTGATGATCCTAAAACTTGGTAGATTCAGTCTTCACAGTCTTCTTTTTCCTGGAAAGCTTATCATATGTCCTGCTATGTCTCTATGTATGAGTGCAGATAACGTAAGTGAATGCTTATACTGTATGTAAAATGCCCAGGCATGATTAACCTTCATATGAAAGTGCAATTCTGAACATAAAGCTTCCTTAACTTTAGGAAATATGGCAACTTTCACATATATTTATGATTTCACAGACTCTAGGCTAAACTGCTGTATTGGTAGCCAGTTGGTGGTTTTGTGACTAATCTGGTGATGCTACCCATAAACTACGATAATCTGTCGTGTGCGGAGGTGAACGTGTATGCACACATATTTGCGGATACCACAAATGGATATGGAGGTTTGAGGAAGTTAGCTAATTCAACCTCTGTGTTCTGAAGTTGATATTTTCTTACTTCTCAAAAGACTTTCTTCCTGCAATACAGACAGAGGATTTAGAGAAATAAAGAGTAGGATAACAATTAACCCTTCTAAATTCATCACCATTGTATAAGCAGAGTTTTCTATCTTTGTTTCCTCAAAAAGCTACATGGACATTAGTTTGTACTGTGCTCTGCTGAAAGCTCTAACAAGAATTTTTTATGCAAAAAGGAGGAAATCTGCATGAAAAATTTCCATTAAGTCTATATTTTTTGTATCTTCAAGTAAGAAAGCAGATCCGGAGGCTGTCTTCAGATAATTGATTGTATAAACAGATGTCTATAATAGTACATGTCATAAGTTGCTTATAATGTGGTAACATTGATACTGTTCTGCAAGATAGAAGTTGTTACAGTAGATTATCATGCTACAGGATATGGGTGAGTTAAAATTTTATTGCAAGGTTTCCAGCAAGGTACTTAACATTTGCCGAGTTACATTGTACATCTGGGGAAAAAATATTATTTTATACAGTGTCTCCAGTTTTGAATTTAAATAAGTGAAAGGAAACTCAACTCATAATTCAGACAACAGCTTTAGAACAAGTAGAACTTCAATAGGTTGAACTGTAAAAGTATACCCATAAAGCTAAACCTTGGAAGATACCTTTTTTCTGATTTCACTTTCAATAATTACCTTTAATAAGAAAAAGAGGCATAAGAGTTAAATTCCGTTTTGCCCTCGGTTAAATTCAGCTGTTCAAAGTAGTGTGTTCATTTAGGAAATAATTGTTTTCTCAGTAGTTCTATGTGTTTCAGACTACAGCTACTGTAAACCTTGCCACTGACTATGCTGATGGGAATTGATGGGAGCTGAAGGCCCAGACATCTTGGGTATTTTATTACAGAGTTGTGCAAAGGCGTTATGACAGTGACAGTGTTATTCCCTTTCTTGTTCAGCTTGTTACCTTTTTTTTTTTTTTACATTGCTGCATGTTCATTGCTACCTTGTACAATCCTGAATTTTATTTCTTGCTCTGCCACCAATAGCTTAGACAGCACGAATGTATTATACATTTTTCAACTCTAATATTCATCACTTCATACCATCTTGTATTGGAATGCATTTGTATGACTTCCTACTCACCAATCGTTTTGTGTTATCCTAAATATTTCATCTTTGTCAAATCATTGGCATCTCATCTCAAATAAACAAATGGAAAAGCAAATGTAAAATATTTGGGGCTCCACCTTTGTTCCCCTCCACTATGAGAACTGATCACTCAATCGTTATCCTAAATATTTCATCTTTGTCAAATCATTGGCATCTCATCTCAAATAAACAAATGGAAAAGCAAATGTAAAATATTTGGGGCTCCACCTTTGTTCCCCTCCACTATGAGAACTGATCACTTATTCTTCCTTTCTGCTGCTTTATTGATCTTTTGGAGGACTTGTCCTTTTAGTGTGGAATTATTAAGTGTATTCATGAGTCTTTGGTGCAAGATTTTTGTCAAAGCTCTTAGACATTTGTTAGCAAGAACACAAGTTTGCTGACAACTCTAAACATGACTTCTACAAAATCTAGCCAATAAATGCCTGGCATTGCATAAATTAGCTCCTGGATAATTAGGCGTGTTTCCCCCATTCTCTAATATGTGAGAGTTCACAACAAATTAGGACTAAGCATTTAAGCATCAATCATAGGCATATCATACTATGCAATTTTGATTTAGTGTCTGAGTTCCCCTAAAGTATTAAGTGTAGGGAAAAAACCCCACTATGTCAATGACTTGAAAAACTGAATGTTGACTATTGGTGTTCATAAAAAAAGCAAGTGAATTATTTACTTAAAAAATAATAGTACATTTCCTGCTGATTTCTTGCATCTCCAATATCTACTCAGAGCAACTTGAGATAAAATAGCATAATGCAGTCTAGTATAAAATTCCAGTTACAAAATGTACAACAGCTGCTGAGCTAACATAAATAAAAGCACAGGATCCTAAAAGCAACTAATATTGACTCATTTAGTGGACATTTAGATGTCTCTGAGTTTTTAACATCCAGATTAGCTTTTGTGTAATCATTTAGGCAACCTTTACTTTATTAGGATTCTAAAGTCTCCTTGTTTAGAAAATTAGGGCTACCAGATTTGGGCCAAAAAAATCCAGCCAAGCATCATGTAACAGCTCTTAACTGCCATCTGGACTTTTGCATTCCAGATCTAGTAGTCCTATAATAAATAAAAATGTGTCCTCAAGTTACGTTTTAAAAGTTTAAATGATCAAATGTGTGTTCATTCATGTTAGATCTAATATTCAAGGGGGAAAAAAACAAGAAAATTAGTGGTAAGGCTTCTTCTGAACATTACAATACTGTGGTTAATCAAGTATAGGTCTGCGAAGGAAACCCCAAAGGCTAGTCAATACTCTGCCATGAAATCCAAGAATATTTTTCCAGTTCTCTGGTCAGTTATTAATAAAATAAGAACTCTGGCTTTAGAAGCAAACTATTTCAGGTTAAGCAGTCTGGTTTTGGAGCTGACAGTACAGTTCAATGGGAAACTTGGATTAATAGCTTGTACTAAATGCTTAAACTGGCAGTATTTTCCCATCATTAGTGTGATTGTAGGATATCTTAAATAGGCAGAATAAGCCATCTGAATGTTTCTAAATCCTGATTCTTTTGTACAAATCAGACCCATTCTTCTTAGTAAGACACATCAAGATCTGTCAACCATTTTGTGATGTTATAAAAATAAACCTTATTCCTGAAGCATAAATGCATTGAGTCTTGAACTATGAACTGACCCACAAGGGAGAAGGAACATCTAGAATGCATGGTAGCAAAGTCATACAACACCTTCCTCTGCATTGCATAGAACAGGATAAATTAAAAACC